GAATATATAAAAATATCAACGGGAGATGTTAGTCTAGTTAAAGCAACAGTTTAACATTTTCTACTATGTGGCTAGGTGTCAAAACTGGAAGTAGATAGGTGAGTTATACTCTATCAATCGACATAAGCTACATAGAAAATGCCTAAAACACGGCAGCAAAGATAATTCTTAAAAATATTCTCCTCATTAAAATTAAAAAAAAAGCCCGTTTATATATCGTTCAAATGAGTTTAAGGGCTCTTTGAGGAGTTCTAATACTACAAGGGCAAACAGACTTTGAATTTTTTATATGTGTGTACCGTCAAATCGGATCTGACTGGTACAGGAGGCAATTGTTCCTCCTTCTTCAGCACAGAATCTGGTGGATTTGAATTGCGTACCTCGGGATTGCAGTGCAGCTTCTTGTCACTAGGCCACCAGAGCTCGCCAGACTTTTCATTTTTTAATCTTAGAGTCTGAAATAATTTTTTCCCAGGGTCACCATGTTGTGTAATGTTTTGCAAGTTCATTGTTTCTCAGCCATGCTAGTATTCCTTGTTAGGAACATACCATAGTTTTTCTATCCATTTTTTTTTTATGGGCACTTGCGTTGCTTCCATCTTTTCGCTACTGTGAAACAGGGGTGTGTATACATGATTGAGAGTAAACTCTGGTTTCTTTAAGGTATATTCCTAGTGGAGGAATTGCTGGGTCAAATGGTATTTCTGACTTTTTGAGAAAGCGCCAGATCGCCTTCCATAGTGGTTGCATGGTCTTACACTCCCACCAGCAGTGAATAAAAGTTCTAATCTCTCCACAAAAAGATAAGTACTGCTCAACACCACTGTTATACCAGGACTGATATGAGGATAGGGAGAGAACAAACAGGAAAAAGAATGGATAATGAACACTGCATTAGAACAGATGAGGGAAAGAATTATTTAAAAAGGAATATATCATTAGGTATTATATGTATGGTGACAATCTGAATTAAGGTAGATGCATTACAAAGTGAACTGGGGGGATGGGAAAAAGAGAATGAGGGCGGAAGTTGTGTGGCAATAAATGAGTATTTTTTAAAAAAAAATTGAACTGGGGACGGGGAAGGAGGAAAATGAGAATCCAACTTTTCTGTAAACTTCTGTTAAAATCATAATACAATTTTTTTTAAAAAAATTTTTTGAAGTAAGAAATATTGTTAAACTTTTCCTATTTAGGTGCTGTGGGAATGACATTTTCTTTTACCATCTATAGATTTATCATAATAAGTAAGAATCTACAATAAAAATGTGCACTTTGGAGAACATAAAATAAAAAGAGAAAGGAAGCTCATTTTATAGAAAAGGTATTAGAAAATATGTTCATCTTACAATAGGGAATACTGTGAAGAAAAACTTAGTAATTGACTATTTACCAGATTAACTAATTGAAAAATATTTTGCCATTTACCCAAATTAAACAATACATCAAATATACTTTTCCAAGATTCATTTTATTATTTTTAATGAACTATGCTTAACATTTTTACAAATCTTTATATTGTTACAGTAGATACACTGAGCAAGTCCTCTGATGTATGTAAAACATAGAAGAAACACATGGAAATAAGGGGGAAATGTCAACTCTAAGTCTGAGAAGGGAATCAATATCGTTAAAGTCCTTTGTGACGCTGGTACATGGAAAATTAATATGTAGCTCTGATCTTCACCCTCCTGGGAATGATGAATAATGAGGGACATTATTTCATTCACAGCAGAGGATCTAAACACAGAAAAGAACCTGAAAACAATTGCCAAAGCAAATAAGTGTTTTTATTCCTCAGTATTTTTGATTCTTGTGGTATACCATATATTACAAAAGGGCTTGATCCTTATATAACTGCATATATGTCATAAAAATGGACTTTATAAATTGTCAAGATCATAATATGTATTAAAAAATACAGACGGCTGTGCTTTAGTAAATGAATCCATCATTATTTGAGGGATAATTTTGCCTTGAAGATATAGCCAAAGTGTATACAACAGATCCACAAATATTACCAATTTGTGATCAAAATGATCTAAATTCACATTTGCAAAAAGCTGTATTAGTTTTCAATTTAAAAATTTAAGAAAGTTGTGAGTATTGTTGATTTATTATTCCTTGGGTTAAGAAAAAGTGCATGGCTTCAGCTTTTGAACAGGAAATTTATGCACTACTCAGAAATGAGAAGATGCACACTTTTAATTATTAGAAACCATAAACTCTATAATCGCCAATTAAAAACAGAATGTGCAGTATACAACAAATAAGGTTCTATTCTGAAATTAAACAGCTATTTCTAGAAAAGCCCTCGGTACATCCATTCATTTTCCTTACAAAGATGAATAAAACAAGTGGCACACTTAAATGGTATACCTTTATGTCAGTATACTTATTCCATACCAAGTAGAGTGATGACACATTTCTATTTAAATGTGGGGGGAAATCTATACTTAAAAATGGAAGAAATGCAAGATTTTGCTGTGTATTTTCTAACTGCACTCCCAACATAATTTATCTATATTGGATTAGAAAAAAAGATTCAACATACACAAGAGATAAATGTTACTTACATGCAAAATTCATTGTTCCAACATGAAACACTAGTTCTATACCATTTTAAGTAATAAAAACTGCACATCTGTTTAATTTGGCTAACAGAAAAAATTCATACTTAAGAAAGATGTCATTATAGTCTTCTAATAAAGCAATTCTATATCAAAGGCACTTCAGCAGAGCGATAATTCCTCAACCTTTTCCAAATCATGTTTACTTATGCTGCTTTAATGCATCTTTCTGTATAAGACCAATAAAAAGACTAGAGACTATCCAAAACACCTATTCTGTGGAGTAGAATAACAAAACATACTTATGTTTAGGTCTATCAACTCTTTGGGTTAACACAGAAAAGTAGGAATGTCATCTGGCTGATGTTTCAGAAGTTACAAGGAAAAAACTGGCTGAAGTCTACTATCTTAAGAGAAGTGTCAAAAACAAAAAGAAAAGCCCACAAACACCGAAATACCCCCGTTGTCTTTTATTAAATAATTTCATTAACTCCAGTTTTACTGAAGCTAATGCGACTACTTTTATTTTGGTTCTTTCAACCTGTTTATGTGGGTTATGCAGAATACTCACTGCCTTTTTCATCGACTTGGAACTGACTCATAACTCACCTTGCTGTAAATAGCTCAGAAGCCTGTCTCCCTCCCTATCCTGGAGCTGCTGGTGGATTAAATCAGCCAGAGAGGCACTGCCTTCCAGTTAGCAACACTACCCACTAGAGACTCAGCCCCCAGACCCCTACCAATGACCCATAGCTGACCCTCCAGCAGGTTTTCAGAGGCAGTTAATCACTCGGGAGGAGACTGCCCATCCTTCTCCCGTGGAGAAGCTGGTGGCCTCGACCTGTGTGCCTTCGGAATTGCAGCGTAGCTTCTTGACACTAGACCACCAGAGCTCCCTAGGCTGAACAGTAGATGAAAAAGTTGAGTAGATGAAAAAGAAAGCAATTTCATTTCTTTGTTCCCCTGAGGAACCAGGATGCAGCTTCTGACCTTTTGCCTTCATGAAAATTTTAAGAAAAATGGAAATTAACTGATTTAACAAACAGCCTTTATTTCTGGGAAAAGAAATTTATCATCAAAATTAGAAATGTAATTGTTGAATGTATTCACTCTAAATACTTAGCAATAAGGAAAAGGATCTATTCGTTCCACAACTGAAAAAAAAAGGTCACAAAAACTATCAATGATAAAACATACAAAAACCAACAACCCACAAATCCACAAAAAATACTCCAAACATTATAAGGCTATAAATTTTTAGTGAAAAACAGCTTTTCCTGTGAAATCAAATTTTCTTCAATTTTTATGAATGTCAATAAGAAAAAGAATCATATGTATATAACTCCTATTCAGATTTCATTCTGAACCTCAGGAAAAGGTCATTAATTTCTTTTTCTTTTCATTAACATTTCAGAACATAAAATAAGAAGGTTTATTTTCTTTACTGCTAAATATTTCATTACATTCTTGGTTTTTACAAACTTAATAGATTTTTAAAATAAAATTTGAGATTCACTAAGTATTTTCATTTTTTTTAATGTAAGGAATAATCTGTAGCATTTGAGTCAGCCTTAAAGTCATCCCATCAGACCCTGCTCCCCACTAGACTGGTAAAAAGCTTTCCTTGATGTCACTAGAAAAATGAGCTAACTTCATTTTTCAGAGAGAATAAAAAAAAATTTACTGTCAGAATATTAAATTTCTTTTTAGATTTCTGTATGATCAATTAATACTTTATAATTTCTTTTATAAATTATATCTAAAACCTACCAAGGAGCTGGTGTTATGTTTCTGAACTCCTAAGGTGTTTCTTGCCTATTTTGTACCAACTGAGTGTGGGATTTACTTTTCTGGATGATGCAGTACACATTATATTAATCATTTAAAAAGAAAAAGGAAAAAAATGTTGTTTGGACTTTGAATTCTAGAATGGCACCAGTCCAGAACATTTATTATTTTCAACTATAGGCAGAAAATAGTAATGGCTATATTTCACAAGAATATGTTGACTGAAAACAGGTTAGGGTTCAGTTTTAAAAGTTTCACAGGTGTAGGCAGTTAGACAGAGGCCAACATTTTTTTTGGGAAGCAATTTAAAGAACACATTCTACTATTTTATTCTTAACAAAGTCAGATCTAAATGAGCTCACTGAGCAACATTTTCAGATAATTAACACTTTGAGCTCTTTTCTATTTTGAAGACTTGGAGAGTTCAAATTTACCACCCCAAAATAAATGAACAGAACAGGCCAGCAAAAGAATTCCTTAGTATCCTTCTCTCTAATTACTGTAATCATCATTTCACTACTTGCTCTGCTTGAAACATGTCCAAGGGCCATGAGATTGCGCAATCTTAACTTCTAGGAAGTTTATATTGTGATTCACGAGAATAAACAGCACAGAGACACGAGAGACACACCATCCTTCGTATTAATTTATGGGAATTAGTGGGCGTTCTTCTCGCTTCTTCCAGATATTAGTCTTGCTATCTCTTTTGGCTAGTGGTGGTCTGCTCCTTTTCTTAGTGGGGGATGCACTGGCTTCAAAATCTTCAACAGTGCTTTTTCTTCCTGGGGACTCTTCTCTAGGGTGTTCTATGATTGCTCCGCTCCCTCCATCGAGAATGTGCCTTAAAGCTGGGTCCTCAGGAGAGCAGACAGTGGTTCCACTCTCACTACTGCTCAGGTCTAAATCTTCTAAGTAAAGGATCTTAGGTTGGTGCATGCTTTTGATGAATGTTTTCTCCCTCTCAAGCTTTCTACTTGAGTGATGTTCATTCATGTCTACCCCAGAGTCCAGACTTGTGTCATTGCTCTGTGTTCTCTTACCCTTTTTCAGGTCTATGAAGGAATGTCTCACTTGGGCAACTGGTTTTCCATCAAGAGACACAAACCAAGCTCTCGGGTGAGGGGAGGGCTTGCCTTTGGACAGCTCCAGGAGGGTCTGTTCGGAAATGCCTTGAAGCTCTGATGAAAAGGGTGTCATTACAACAGCTTCATTCAAAGTTCCAGGAACCGAGACAGATTCTAGTAAGCTGTTAGAATACCGGCTCCAGTCTGACGTCTGAGATGGCAAGCTCTGCTGACCTTCCAATGCAATACTCTCTTCCCTGGTATCTGGGGGCTGGGCATGAGCATGCATTGGCATTTTTGGCAATGTCTGTGTAAAGTTCTCTCTGTTTACTGGTTCCATCAATTGGCCATAAACTATCTGTCCCTTTCTTGGCAAAGTAGCTGACTTCGCAGTATGTAACTGCTCAGGAGTGGAGAAAAGGTCAGATGTTTGGAGGATGGCAATGGGTTGACTGTAGATATGCATAAGCTGTTCAGGGATATGGGACCGGCCATACACCTCTTCATTACCTGTGAGATACCTCTTTTCCTCTTGAGTATCCCCTAGAGATGGAGATAGATTGTTGCCATGTTTAGGTGGCTTGGATCCTGTGTTCGGCTCCAGAGACGGTGTTGGGTTTCTTGAGTAACTATTTTGACTGACTGACAGAAATGGAACATCTTCATTATAGATTTTAAAATTGTCCCGAGTCTTTACCATGGAAACTCTTTCTTCTGTGTCTGCCTTTGGTGGTTCCTTTTTTTGAGGGCTGTATGAAGAGTTTTTGGCATTGAATATCTGTGACCGGTCCTCAGCTTTTAATGCAACTTTGACTGAACTAATGTGGTTTATGTGTGTTGTTGAAGTAGTTTGGTCTCGCTTTAGGACTTCGAGTTTAGTGCTATTTCTTTCCCTTTTCTGTGGAGTCCCACATTTATCCCTAGAATAATGGACAAAAAATTTAATAAGTTACGATTTATAAGAATCAAGCAAAAAAAAAGAATCAAGCAATAAATTATATATTACCAATATATGTATAATTAGTAATGTTACTATCAGAATATGTGCATTTTAATTTATCAATATACCTTAAAGAGAAATTGATAAATAAATGCTTATTAACTAATAATAACTATGTTATGCACAGAATATAATAAAATTATTTTCTCACTGATGACCATTGTTCTTACCTACAGTAACAAAGAAGTATAGCAAAAAATCCAATGACAATGACTATGGTTCCTCCTAATATGGCTGTGAGAAACACTGTGTGGTAGGCAGTTATGTCCTTCGAATCTTCATTTATACCTAAACCTAAATGGGTCAATGTAAACAAAAAACACAAAATAACAAGCCACATTACTTTAAATCAACTCTGTAATATCAGAAATAACGTAGACTTAATATCTGTACATAATTGATTCACTCTCTGCGGCAAATTTTTCATTAAGTATACCTTCCTTGCTACTCCTTGACTTTGCGTTGACTCAATAGACTTGCTTTGTGCAATGAAACCCTTTGTCCAGTGAGCACCTAAATGAGCTTATTTGACTAGAGAATTTTATTCTGGTCCTTTGCTATGTGAGAAACGTAACTCAAAGAGTCACTATTCCTTCCATTTGGATTCCAGAATGAGAAAACATGTTAAACTGAGCTAAGCTGAGCCCAATGAAGCAATCAAAAGCATTTATGAAATACAAACAACAAACATTTTTCAATTATAAGTCACTGACAGTAAAGTTGTTACTGCCAAGAACAATGGAAGAGACCAAGATGTTTTTAGAGCTTTCCTTTGAGGTTTTTCATCATCAAATTTAATAATATTAATAATTACAGTGACAATAAGAGATTAAGAGAAATAACAGAGTGATGCATATAGCAACTGTTTGGCATTTGACTAAGAATCCTGGTCTCACCATTCTTTCTACACGATCATCGTTGTCTTGCTGTTACGTGAGAAGTTGAGTAGGACTCTTAGTGATTCTATAAACAGCAGATCCGAAGCCTGCCCTCCCTGGGCCAGCCTCACAATCCGGCATCCAGGAGCCTACTGCTACAGCCCCTGTGTCAGTTCATCTGGTGGAGGGTCTTCCTTGCTTCCGCTGTCCCTCCACCTTTCCAAGCATGATGTCCCTCTCCAAGGAAGAGCCTCTTCTTCTAGCAGGTGCCTAAACTATGTGAGAAGAATCTTTATCATCTTTGCCTCCAAGGAGCAAAGATGTAAATCTTTTCATATGGCCTTGGACAAGTTTAATTTTTTTTGGGGGGGGGCGACCTCAACACTTATCTACAAAGCACTCACAGCAGTTGTCATACCGAATTCAAACAGGATGCTACAAGAATTAACTGAATTAATGTTTGTAAAACTCTTAAAACAGTGATCTGTTATCTGATAAGCCCTCAATAAAGATTGGTCATACTATTTCATTGTTGTCAATGAAAACTCAAGGTTATATAAGACCCTCCAAAACTGATCATAATTTCCTACATAGTGACTGGTAATAAGAGTGTTCATTATATCTTATAGTCAAACATACAATACAAAATTTCTTCATATTGTACATGTCGTTCTTCATACTTGTTAACTTTGAATTAAAAAAGAAATGGGAGTCATTTAAGTCTATCTAGTAATTCTTTTTTAATTCCAGAGCTGCAGCAGAATAAAGTTTAATTATAGCTGGGTAAAAATCAACTTTTATTCCTAAGAATAAACACTTCCTTCTGGGAACAATACTACCATTCCAAAATGCTCCAGTAGAATTCATTTTTGGAAATAGAAGGCTGATAGTGTTGGTTCTCCCCCACCCCAACCATATATATGTATCTCAGGAGTGAAACTGAGGAGGACCTGAAGCACTTGCTGCAGAAGGTCATGGACTACAGCCTTAAATATGGATTGAAGTTCTACATCAAGAAAACAAAGATTCTCACCACTAGACCAATTGGTAGAGTCATGACAGATGGTGAAGAGATTAAGACTGTTAACAGCTTTTGTATCTGACATACTTTGGACATGTTGCAAGGAGGGACCAGTCCTTGGAGAGGGATGTCATGCTTGGGAGGGTGGAGCGACAGCACAAGAGAGGAAGACCATCAATGAGATGGATTAATTCAGCGACTGGGTTAATGAGGGTAGGTGTAGCAAAGACAATTAAGATTAACACAGGACAGATCAGAGTTTAGGGCTATTGTACATAAGGTCACTATGAGTTACAGACGACTCAATGGCACATAAGTACAACAATTAAAAAAGTATATGTATGTATGTATGTATGTATCTGTGCTTGTGTGTGTATGTGTATGTATATGTGTGCATCTAAATGGGACCAGAAAGGTAAAAAATGATACTATACTTTCATACACATATATTTGGATTATAAAGTTAATGACAATAAATGCTTTTGTTAAAACTCTATATAACACTTCCTATTTTCCTACAATAATCTGTAAAAAATGACTTTATTTTAATTACTTTTTTTAGAATGCCAGAATGCGATTCAAGTGTAATAAAAAACAATACCCATGAACCTATTTAATTTAACCAAGGTTAAAACTATTATAAAATAAACCTATTCTAACCAAGAAAACCTACTGGCTGGGAAAAAACATTTGGCAATACCATTTCAGACAAGGGTCTCATATCAAAAGTTTACAGAATTGTACACAGCCTCCACAAGAAAAAGACTGGTAAAACAATTACAAAATGGGCAAGAGACATGGACAGAATTTTCACAGAGGAAGATATCCGGATGACCAACAGTCACACAAAGAAATGCTCAAAAGCAGCGTCAATAAGAGAGACGCAAATCAAACGACAAAGAGAGAACATCCCACTCCAGTAGCAGTGGCAGAGTTTAACAGGACAGCAAGTAATAAATGTTGGAGAAGATGTGGTGAGGCAGAAATCTTGGCTGTTGCTGGTGGGATTGTAAAGAGGTACAATCACTCTGGAAGGCAGTTTGGAGCTTTCTCAAAGGATGGACATAAAAATTCAATATGACCTAGCTATTCCGCTGCTTAGAATCTAGCCCGAGAAAATGAGAATTGAGGTACAAACGGCAACTTGTACACCAATGTGCACAGCAGTGTTATTCACCATCGCAAGAATATGGAAACAGTCCAAGTGTCCCGCCACAATCGATTGGATTGAGAAATCATGGCACAGTCACATGATGGAATATTATGTGGCACACAGGAGCAATGATTTTGTATACCACTACCTAACTTGGGAGAGACTGGAGAGCATTATGCTAAGTGAACTAACTCAGTCCTATAAGGACAAATACTATGTAAGACCATTACTGTAGAACAAGTATGAGGATCCAAGAGGGGAGAGGATGGGAGCAGAAAGGTGAGGATAGGCAGGGGTGGAGGGTGTGAGGTGTGGTAATCATAGGATCGCACAATCTGATGGGTTAAGAAGGAGATGAAGGAAATAGGAAAGATCCAGTATGAAAAACAATATATGCAAACTTTGTAATAAATCACTATAAAATAAAAACTAAAATAAAAAACAAAACAAAACCTATTTTAACCAAGGTAGGTAGCTCCAGCACCCTGAATGGAACATTTTTCTTCCCCATCAACTTTTTTAAAAATACTGTTTGCATCCAAAATTTGTATACACTGTGTTCCATTCATATACACTGTGCTTTACACAACCCTTCATTTACATTGTGTTTCATAGGATCATATAGAACTTGTAAGAACAGAACTATCAAAAAGTTTCCAAGGTTACCAATGCTTACATAAGCTGACTTCCTCATCTCACTTCCACAAAGTCGCCCACTGGTTTGAACAGCCAACTATTTGGTTAGCAGCAGAATACTTTTACCCAGAGAGTCACCAAAGGTCATGAGCTTAATGATATTAAGAATCATCGTACATCCAACTCCTCCAATTGAGAAATGAGAAAACTAAGATTCACAGAGGTAAATGTCTATTTCAAGGTCACCCACACAGCTGTGGGCAAAGTCAAAGCTACAGTTAAACTACTTTTACTTATAGTAGAGTGCTTCTTTGACATATATTTGTAGTATAAATTTTTCAAAAGCATCACCAGAAAGTTTCCTAATGCAAAGTAAATTATTTCACTTATTTAGAACTCCAACTCACACAGATAAAATGAAACAGAATTTTCACCTATTTTATAAAACTCAAAGGCTCATTAGGTTATTTTTATATTAAAAATTAAATAACTTGGGTTTAGTTCAAGTATTAAATATTAATCATTCCTTTTCATCAATATTTCATTATAGTTACAAATCTAAAATGGAATAAGGCCAGACAGCTGGCAAGACTGCATGATATATTGCATCATGAATAACAAAAACAACTACCCCTCCAATTTCTGAATAAATCATCTCTTAAGCATGAAGTTCAAACAGGAATGGTCAGATCACATCTCTTGATCATATAAGGTTAACAGTTTATAAAATTCTTCTATAGGAATACTACAATTTGATGTCCCTGAGACTTCGTATTTAGCATGGTTTTAAAGTGACAATAAAAGTTAAATCTTATTGGAGGGAAAAATCTATTTTGGAAAAAAATATGAACTACTTTCAAAATAGTAAAGTCAAAGGACATCATGCTCGGAGGAAGACCTTCAAGCAGATGGATTAACACAGTGGCTGCAGCAATGGGCTCTAATGTGTCCATCAGAGATGATAAGGACAGCACAGGAACAAACAAGGTTCACAGCTGTTGTTCAAACGGTCACTAGGAATCATTCTCAACCTAATAGCACCTAACAGCAGCAACAGAGAGCTAGAAAGCTACAGAGAAACATACACAAAATATCATCTATGGTCTGGATCAGAGCGTGTAGTAGGACTATTCCTGACCACCATGGAATAGCTAGGTAGCAGCTGTTCTCAGCTTGCAGCCAAGACACTAGAAAGACCACACTTGACTAAAAATGGGAGAACGCATTTAACTTTGACATTCTCAAAGACTCATGAAAATGACACTAAAAGTTGTTCCTTTGTTTTGTTTTTATAAACAAAAGGAAATAAGAATAAAGGAGAATGAAATAAGAAACCAGAGCACCAAAACTGATTTCACAAAAACCGAGGGGAAAGTCAAAACTTAGTCAGATGTGAACAAGGGAACATCCTAACACTTCCCAAAGTGAAAATAAGAGTTTCCTCAGGAAGTGGAACTAGGCAATAAGAGAATTAGTCCAAAGGCCAAAAAATCTCTCCACATCCACTCTTGAGCTAAACATGGCCAAAATCTTGGCAGAGTCTTAGATTTCATTTCTTTCTAGGTTAAGAGAATGAGAGAGGAGCTATATATACTGGAGGGCCTGAGGAGTGGTTTAACAGCTTATCACACTGAAAGCTCATGTAAAGACCCTCAGCCTTCGTCCAACACTGGGCAGAACTGCCTTTCAGAAATGTGATCAGTCCATTAGAAAAGACCCAAAAATATTGATCACAATGCTTACTAAGAAAAAGGCCCCAGTCAGACCACACTATGCTGCTGTCGTCGTCAAGTGCCGTCAAGCTGTCAGTGACTCATAGCGACCCTATGAACGAAAGACCCGAACACCTGTATAACTTTCATTCTTTCTCTGAGTCCATAGGGTTTCCAGAAGCAAACTATTTCTTATGTGAACACCACTCCTTGCTTCCAAGCTTGTTTTAATCGGGGAGCTCCACCAAACACTGTTCACCATGGGTAACCATTATCACATTTGACACACCAGTGTCAGTGTTCAGCTTCATAGCAACCATGAGTTACCTCTGTACAGCAAGTAAACAGGCCAGGGCTACATGACCTAGAAGAATGTTTGATCAAAAACAATTAAAAACAGGCCTGAAAGCTGCAGATTAAAGTCACGCATCTTTGGCTTGGTAGCATCAATTTCTGTGCACTAGGCCATCTGATCTCTCTCTGTGCTGCTGTTATTATTGTAGACCATGCTACAGTAAAAGGAATAATCTAGAAACTTTATCCATGCACACAGAATTTGAAATTGAATTTTCAGTGTTCTACTCTTCAGCAGGGATCTCTGGTGACCCGGCATGTAAGAAGCTACTTACCCAAAAGCTAGTGATTCAAATGTATTAACTGGTCTATGAGAGAAAGATGGACAATCTCCTCCTATGAAATTTAAAAACTGTGAAAACCCACCGGAGGGGTATGATATGAGTTGGTTTTGATTCATTGGCACATAACAATTATTATTATTTAATATGACCTGCCAGTCAAGGGTCATGAGATATTTATCCACAGGATTAAATAGATCAGAGGGAACAGCTGCAAGGAAGGAGAAAAGCAAACAAACAATACTTGAATTACATTGTTGTTGGTGTTGTTTATTGCCTTCGAGGTGAGCACAACTCATAGAGACCTAAGAACTTAAGGCCTGAAGCCCTTCTACAACTATTTACATTTATCAAAGTTCACAGAGGTTCTGGAAGCTTGCTGTTTAGGAAGTGGATGGCACTCCTGATTCCATACCTGTCATAGTATGTTATTGTTGTTATGTGCCATTGAGTCAACTGTGATGTAGTGACCCTATGTACAGCAGCTATGAACCCTTCCCTGTCCTGAGCCCGTATCCCTAATTCCAACACACCAAACACCTTTATCCCAGTTCCCGTATCAATATATGATTAATATTCTGAGGGAACACCAGTGGCTTAGTAGCAAGAAGCTACACTGCAATTCCGAAGGCACGTGACTGATCGTCTATGTCATATGTTCTTCAAGATGACTAAAATCAGACCCACGCCAAGATATGACATATTTCCTTAGAGCGAGACAAAGAGAAAATCCCACAACCTTCCTGTAAGGGAAAATATAGGTTTCATGCAATAGATCAACTTTTAGAATAGCACCCTATTTCTCAATCTCCCAAAAGAAATTATTTCTTGCCTAGAAGTCTATGTTCATAACCAAATTATTGCTCATGCTTAAGTATTAAATAAAGACATTTCCAGACATAAAAGGTCTTAAAGTGTACACCTCCTACACATTCTTTCTCTGAAGCTGTTAGTCTACCACTAACCCCAGAACTATGTCATGAACCAAAGAATATGAGAAAATATGAGCTGTGAAATACAGATCACTCATAAAGTAACAATAAAATTAACTCCCAAGATTAAAATGAAAGTAGTCCCAGGTTAAGAACTCTGTAGTAGACACAGAACTTATCTAGATCACACTTTATATTAATTTTCTTTTTAAAAAAATTTTTATTTTATTAATTTTAATGAACATTTACAGAGATTTTGGATTTTCATTCATTCATTGTTGCACTTTTTTCTTTACCCCCCTCCCCCCAGTTCACGCCTCTCTTTGAAAAGCAAAAGATAAACTTCTTCATTGGATTAATTTTCTTTTTTGAGAAAATTAATAAACAAAAATGTTTGAATATTGTGAAATATTTAAACAAGCCAAGGGCCATGTCATTTCTTTGTGTACAAGTTATACAGATATTTGATAATATGTTAAATAGTGTAAGTATAAATAAAGGAAAATGAAAAGAAGTCCATAAGAACGAAAATACAACCTTAAGTCTATCCCAAAAGAATTTAAAAACCATCTTAAGAACAGATTTGATACATTAGCAACCACAGGAGTTGTGGATAACATAAAGGATGTCATCACGAAAAAAGCAAAAGGTCAATACAAAGACAAGGAAAAAAGACGACAAAGTGGATGTCAGAAGAGACTATGAAATTTGCACTATAATGGAGATCAAAACAAGGGAAAAAATCCTGGAGAGAGATAAATAGATAAATAGATGATTTCAAAGAGACAACGCAAAATATTACAACAAAATATACAAAGAGCTGGAGTAAGAAAAGCAATGAGAAGAACATTTTTCAAGCTGGAAAAATGGAAGAACAAATACAAGTCTCAAGTAGCAATACTTAAAGATTCAATGGGCAAAGCACTGAATGATGCAGGAAGCATCAAAAGAGAATGGAAGGAATACACAGAGTTACTGTACCAAAAAGAACTGGCTAACACAGAACTATTTCAGGAAGCAGCATATAACCAAGAACCAACAGTACTGAAAGATGAAGTCCAAGCTGTACTCAAGGCATAGGGAAGACAACCCTGGGAATTGATGGAATACCAATTTAGATGTTTCCACAAACAGATGCAGCCCCAAATGTGCTCACCAGTCTATTTCAAGAAATCTGGAAGACAGCTCGTTGGCCAATAGACTCAAAGAGATCCCCAGACCATGGGAACAGACCATGGAATTATCAAACAGCATCATTAATACATGTAGGCCCAAGTTTTGGCACCGAAAGAATTTCCATGCAAGTAAAAGTGTGCTAAAGATTATTCAAAAAAAGCCGGAATTGTACATTGACAGGGAAATGTCAGAAATTCAAGCTGGATTCAGATTAGGTGATGGTATGAAAGATATGATCACTGGTGTCAGATGGATCTTGGCTGAAAGCAGAATATTGAAAAGATTTTTACTTCTGTTTTATTGACTATGCAAAAGCCATTTAACTGTGTGGATCATACCAAACTATTGCTAACAATAAAAAGAATGGGAATGCCAGAACATTTAACTGTGATCATGAGAAACCTCTACATAGAGCAAGAAGCAGCTATACAAACATAACAAGGGAACAGTCACTACATGGCTTAATATCAGGAAAGATGTGGTCACTGCTGTATCCTTTTCCCATACTTATTAATATGTAAGCTGAAGAAATAATTCAGGGAACTGAACTCTTTTAAGACTATGTCAGCAAGAGTGGGGGAAGAAGAGTCAACAAAGAATCATAACAGATGACACAATCTTGCTTGCAGTAAGTAAAGACTTAAAGCATTACAGACGATCAAAAACTACAGCTTTCAATATAGATACCATCTCAACAGAAGGAAAACAAAAATCTGTCAACAACTTCATTTTGCTTAGTTCACAATGGCAGCAGCATTGGCAAAGGACATTTTGCACTGGGAAAACCTGCTGTCAGGAACTCTGCAAAGTATTAAGAGCAATGCTGTCAGCTTACAGACTAAACTGTGCAATTACACAAGTCATGGTAATTTCAATTGCTTTTTATGTATCTGAAAGTTGGATAGAGAGTAAGGAAGACCAATTAAGAATCAATGTCTTTGAACTGTGGGACTGGAAAAGAACAATAGATGTGTCTTGCAACCAGGGTGCTTAGAGGCAAGAATGGTGAAACTTTGTTTCATTTACTTTTGGCATTTTGTTAAGAGTGGTCAGTCCTTGGAAAAAAAGATGCCAAACCAGGAAGGGAAGATGGCCAACAAAACCAAGAAGACTCTCAGTAAGATGCACTGACAAGGTGACCACCACATTAGGCCTGAGTATGACAGATTGTGAAGATGGCACAGAAACTATCCCGGAACAAAGATACAGATTTGTTTTTCACAGAGTTACTATGAGTCAACTTGATGGCACCTGACCACGAAAATTCTAGCCAGGCTCCATACACTTTCAGACCATAATGTCAGACTAGTCTTCACTGAGGTATCAACTATTTTCTTTTAGAAAAAGTCTGGTAGCCTAGTGGCAAGAAGCTGCGCTGCAATCTCAAAGGTACATGGCTCCAATCCAGCAGATGCTCTGCTGGAGAAGGAGGGGCAATCTCCTTTTGTTCCAGATGGATCTGATTTGACAGTAAACAGTAAGAAAAAAAAGGAGGTGGAGGTAGAAAAAGGCTGTGTACGTCACTATCCAGAGCTACGGACGTGCTCATGATCTTAGTATGGGTCAAGCTGATTCTTCCTCCCTAGAATGATATGAACAGAGTGAAAAAAGACCAGAGAAATCAACCATCACATAGCAGCAAACTGAACAAGGCCACTGAATACCTGAATAGGACAGCTAACTGGGCTTCAGGAATTTCATTCTTTCAGCATCTAATTCTTCAACTTTCCCAGTAATCATAAAACCTTCTCAAATATATCTAACGTATTATTATTTTATTTATGTTATCCAGATCTACTTCTGTTGCTTGTAACTGAAAGGTGTAAGTGGTTTAAACTGGACTTTAACTACTTATGAATAATAGTACACTAAAAAATATTATTGTACAGACTTAGATATTATAGATATCAGGAACTTTAGATTTCATGTAGCTTAATAATTTCTGACACACATAAAACAAAAGGAAAAAATTTGAGATCAAGGGATAAAATTATTTTCTCAACATCATAGAACATAAAAATGGCAATACTTCGAGTAAAATCTAGATCTACAGATATCAATTCCAGAATTGGTAAAAAGAAAACTTTTTGCTTTATTGCCACAATACCTCTAGTGCCTGGAAGTGGAGCTGCTATCCAATAGCCCAAATGGGGTGCATCATACATCCAGGCTAAATGATTATTATATTTCTTGACTACACCATGGCCTTGGTTTATCCAAACACCTAAAAAGAGAAGAAGGAAAACCAAAAAAATTTAGTTTATTATATTTTACATATTTTAAAGCTGATAGAAATTTATTGATAGTCATAGAATATTTTACAGAACTGTTTCAGTTTTTTAAAGAAAACTGGAGCAATATATTGTCACATTGTAAATAGTTTTAGTTTGCTTGGTTCCACAATCAGCACTCTTGGCACCAGCAGCCAGGAAATTAAAAGACATACTGTGTTGGGAAAGTCTGCTGTCTGAGAACTCTCCAAAGTACTGAAGAGCAATTATGTCAGTCTGGGGACTAAGGTGTGCCTGATACAGGCTATGGTCTTTACAAACACTTGCTATGCATCAGAGAGCTGCGCAATGACTCGGGATGATAGAAGGAGAATTGATGCCTTTGAGTTATGGTGCTGGAGAAGAGTATTGAATATTCCATAGAATATTGCTAAGAAAATTAGCAGGCTCATCCTGGAGAGGGTTAAAACAGGTTGCTCCTTGGAGGCAAGGATTCTGAAGCCTTTTTTTGTTTGACATATTTTGGACTTGTTGCAAGGAGGGACCTTGGAGAGGGATGTCATGCCCGGGAGGGTAGAGTGACAGTGCAAGAGAGGAAGACCCTCGATGAGATGGATTGATTCAGTGACTGGCGTAATGGGAATAGATGTGTCGGAGACAATAAGATTGGTACAGGATAGAACAGGGTTTAGAGCTATTGTACATAAGGCTGCTGTAAGTCACAGGTGACTCAATGGCACATAACAACAACAAACAACATCAAGCATACATGTATTACATATTAGAGTAATATGTGAAATAGAACAGAATAATGACTTTTATGGCCAAAGGAAATAAAAGAATTAAAAATTAATGAAGCATGAAGAGCTAGGCATACGAATGCAACCCATAAACGCTCCTAATGTTTAAATTATGTGTACTGATACACACATGTTTTGAGATATGAGCAGTGATCTCCATTCAATTATCACATACTTGAAGGTTTTTATGAAATACTTGCAATATGTACTTTATGGCTTCATTAATTTTGTTTTTAAATGTAGTTTTGTCCATTTGTATTGGTATAGCTCTTTTGAGCTAATTTTTTAAAAAAAATTTAGGGAATATTATCTGTACAACAAATCCTTATCAATTATTAAAAATTCAATAAAGCCCATGCTTTTATACAAGTAAGCATGAAATATTGAAATTTTAGGATATAGCTGGGCTTATTAATTTAATTTGGCTCATTAATTTATTTCAATGACTTATCAACAATGTATCAAATAGTGTTTTTAACTAGTATGGAAAACTTAAAATTATAGGAATCAGTGATCATATTCATTTTAACTAATTAAACTATATCTAAGTCCTGCCAAAAGTCATAAACTCTTTTATAAATTTCATCCCTGGGAGGTACATAAACACACATAATTTTGTCAATGGAGCAACCAGAAATCAGGAATGAATTATGGAACTTATTTTTCTTTAAAATATTTTCAAATAACCCTGATTATTCAGTTAGGTAGCTGAGGCCTTGTTTGAAATCACACTGCTGGTGATAAATGAATTCAAATCCAGATTCTAGAGCTCCTAATCAAATAACTCTATTTACAATTGTATGCTATGGTATTGAATGCTATGGTAAAGAATGATACTTTCTATCCACTATATTCCATTCTTGGGGATGTGTAAAATTGAGTACTTGGATCAAAAAACATCATGCATGTACCCACTATGGAAGCTCTAATGGTATAGTGCATATTGTGTTAGACTGACAACCAAAAGGTTGATGGTTCAAATCTATCAGTGGCTCCTCAGAGAAAGATGGACAATCTTCTCTCATAAAGACTGACAACCTTAGAAAGCCAGTGAGGGTCACCTTGAGTCAGTTAACTCAGCGGTATGGGTTAGATATCCCCTATACAAGGTAAACAGAATATGTCCATATTTTTAAGAAACGGTGGAAACTATATAAGTAACAGTGGTAGCATGTAATTGTAAATAGAGTAATACAAAAGAAGAATATTAATATCAAAATTAATTTTTTCACATACCCATGTTCATATCAAATCTCCAGGCAGGTATATGATCCCCGGCATTTATATCATTTGTATGTAGAAGGGGGAGAGAAACTTGAATGGAGCCATCCACTTTTAATTCTTTTCCTCCAGAATATATTTTCACACATATTGCAGCCAGAGGAGTCAATTCAATGCTTTCAAAACCTAAAAAAGAAGGCATTTCATTAAAATCATATGTACCATCAACATATTGATTCAGAAACTGCGGTATATTCACAAGATAGAAACCCACACAGCACTCAAGAGCAACTATTGTGAAAAATATGACATAACTTGGGAAAGTCTGCAAAGCATTATACTGACAGAACTCAGTCTCATAAGGACAAATAAGACCATTATTATACAAGTGAAAAGATAAATAGGAAGATGTGTATAAAGTCCAAAAGGGGTAAGGAAGGGGTGGGGGAAACACGGGGTCATGGAGTTTGGCAGGTGGAGGAAGAGGGTGAAGGAACTGGGAAAGATCCAGTGGGTACCTGAGAAGACAGGTTAATAGTGGGCATAGATCAACGGTGATTAATTTTCTAAAACACAATATTTGGGAATGATGATACGAAACACTATGTGGATGAACGAATGTGTGAAACACAAGGCACAAAAAATTTTAATGACATGTTGTGGTTGGGTGCCACTGAGCCAATCCCAACTCATAGTGACCCCAACTGACAGAGCAGAACCACCTCACAGGATTTTCTAGGCTCTAATCTGTACAGCAATAAATAGCTAGGTCTTTCCCTTACTGAGCTTGCGATAACAATGTAAGTGCAAATCATCTACTTGTTAGGTAATCCCAGAAGCACTTGTTGCCACTATGATAGAAGAAAAGTAACACAGGAGGAAAAACGAATGCAAGATGCTTAATCATCAGCTCCAACTCAGTTCTACTGAAGATCGATTTGCTAAGAATGACTAGAAGACCAAGTTATGAAAAAATATGTGTAAATGTCCTAAAATTATGCATATTAAGCATATTTTAAAATTTATAACTATACAATAATCCCAATTATTCCCTCTTTCCTCCAACTATTCGTTATATACTATATTTACCTCCTTTGAATCTATGTTTTCTCTAAATAAAATTTCCACTAATTTTAAATAATGTATATGGAAAATTCTGGTTTAATTCTTTTTTTATTAGACAAAAGGCATTTTGATAACTAGATTTACTTTTAAAGGGTGACAAAAATCCCCCAAAGTTTAAACATCAAATATCTACATAACTTAAATAGTATTTAGTAAAAAATTTCTGTACTAATTTTTCTGGTAAGTTTTCTGGCACCATTACATTATGGAAAAATCTGACGCTACCTGATTTGTTGAGAGTAATTCCAGCTGTATATAGAAAATTGTCCACTTTCAAAAACTGCTGCAGGACTGTAAGATAACCGGTTACATTGCTAATATGGTGGTTGTCAGGCAGTTTAATTAAGGCTTTTGAAAACTGAACACTTGGTTGAGATTTGGCATCTAGATAAAGCAAAACAATATATAAGTATAACAAAAGCATATTGAGCACAAATATTAACATTGATTTGATTAAGATATTTTACTTTAAATAAGCAGCTACCACTATAACACATGTTCATATGCCTATTATTTGATATTCATAACTGTTTCCAATGAGTTTTTGAAAGAGCACATAGAGTACCTTTATACTAGATTCTGTTATCCAGTATTTCTTCACTCTGGTTTAAGAATTAGTGAAAGGAAGCAGTGGATGAGATAGAGATGAAAGCATCATGTTTATGGTTGGTAAAGTGGAACCAAAAGACTTTTACCTTAAATCCTTCAAGTTTTACTTTATCTCACAGTTTTATTATACTTAGAACCTTTCTGAATCTTCTGCGTTAGGAAAAGCAAGTGGGACAAGTCAGGCAGGTCTCAAGGCTCCTCACAGGCAAAGATCATCATGGAGAGCAGGAATGAGGGTGACAGGTGTCTGGTCTCCTCTTTCCAATTTCCCCAATCGCTAACATCCCCAGAGGAACAGTGAAAATGTGATTTAGAATAAAAGACACCAGATGTCTTTCCAGTATTTACAAAAGTCCTATATTCCTATTTTGGGGACTAAAATAGTAAATGGAAAAGAAAAATCCTCCAACCTAAGAAACTCATGCTGCAGTTTTATAGTGAAATGCAAACCTGTTAATCATCTTAAATCAGATTTTCCCCAAAATATAATCACCATGGATTCATTAGTGAAGTAGTTATATAACAATCATTTTATAATATTAGACAAAGAAGTGTTGTACTTACCAGCTAATTTTCCAGTAATTAAAACAGTGTCTTCAAATAGCCATATATTTGCTTGGCTTTGTGGGAACAGTGAAAGTGTAACTGATGAATATACTGTGAAATAACAGCACAATTAGAACATGTTATTAGATGAGGGGGCAAAGCTGAAATAAATATAGATCTGTTCTAACAGGTCAAGAAAAGCAGACAAACTCTGATGAATAGAACAATGTGGAACAAAGGAAGAGATGGTGGTACAACATTAAAATGTTAACAGCACAGTGTCAAAGGAGAAATTTATTATGAGTGCTTTAGTAACAGTTAAAAAAAAAAACAAAACCCACACCAAAGAAAAAAGGGGAAGAAAATCATAAAATATGATATAGGGAGGGAAAACAGTAACAATACAGTGAGAAGGGGCATGGGACATTTATCACTATTTTGCTTTACTAATATCTTCTACTTCTTAATTTCCATTAGGCAGTTGTTATTACATGAGTGAGAAGCATCCCCACAGCTTCTTAGCTGGGTCTCCTGAGCCCATTTAGCCCTGCTCTTGGCCCCTTTCTTATACACAGCCGAGTGACTCCCATCACCAAACAACACATACTCTGTATGCTCAGGAATCTGTAACAACTGTTTTATTATTTAGTATACAAACATAAACTATTTGGCTCCACCTAGCCAGAGCTGTCCTGCTTATAGTAATCCTTTGGGATGTCAATCTCCTCACCACCACCTGCAGATAAGCTTCACAGCACAGCAGAGCTCCTGCTCAGAATTCCTTCAATCCTCCTTCCATGAAACCCCTTCATATTTTTCCTGAGAATGGCATCTCTCTAGCCTAATTATAGTCACTTTGCATAGGCAATTTCATTTGCCGTTTATCAGAACAAGAGACTTCAAAATGAAAGGAATCAATCTTGCATTTTTAAAAGAACAAATCTCATTACCATCAAGTCAGACCTGACTCACAGGTCACCCTCCAGTGGGTTTTCAGAGGCCGTATATCACACAGGAAGAGGCTGCCAATCATTCTCCCAGAGAAGAGCTGGTGGATTCAAATTACCTACCCTTTGGTCTAAGGAGCTCTAGTGACTTAGTGGTAAGGAATTGCACTGCCAATGCAAAGGTATGCAGTTTGAATCCATCAGCTGCTCCATTAGAGAAAGATGGACAATCTCTTCCCAGGCTGCCTCTGAAAATCTGCTGACGGGTCATCTAAGAATCAGTTCTTACCAGGTGGTGCACAACAACTACCCTTTAGGCTGGCAGCCCATCTCCTTACCCATTAGACCACCAAAGCCCTTTCTTTTAAATTTTGAGAAGGTAAACCCATTTCATACTTACTTGGCATTCTTCCGGTCTTCCAGGGCAGTGGTGTCAACACATAGCCATCTTTGTAGGCAATAATAGTTAAGCTGAGCCCTAGTTTGTAGGGTACTTTTATCAACACTGCTCCATTTTTTTTCGTTACTGTGGAATTTGTCTTTGTGTAGTTGACAAACACTTCAACAACAGCTTGACTCAGGTACTGACGACTAATGATGTCATTCACCTGGACCTTCAGCATAAAATCAGATACTAGAAGGAAAACAAAGTTACAAACTGTAGGTTAGACCCTAGAATGCATATGCTACTATGTTTTAAAATATTATTCAAGATGTCTCACCTTCATTGATAAATTTAGGAAATGCTTATGTATGATGTAAAAGGACAAGGATGTACAAAACACTCCAACCTTATTCTCCATGAGAAAAAGACCAGATATTGAAAGGTGCAAGAACCATGAGTCTCTAATAAAATGTACTAATTTCTCTTATTAAAGCCTCCTCTAAAAGTTTACATGAACAAACAATAATAAATACACATTTTTTTTAAAAAATCTACTCTCACACAGTATAGCCAGGGATGGAACTCAAAAGAAAAATTTTAGTGATTCATTTGCTCCAAAAGATCATTTCAAAAACTGTCAACAGATTTTAACTTAATGATAAATTCTAATATAGAATAGCATCCCAACTTAAATTCATTAAGATAAAAAAGAGCTCTGCATATTGGCCTATTTTCCATCTGTTTCATTCTTGTAAATAAAGAACAGTTGCCAAAATGAGACATTACTAAAACCCTGTAATAATCTGAAGCTAGGGTTGATTAATAAGATGTTTTTTAAAATGCATTCTAATATAAAATGGATATTTATCATTGACAGTGATGAAAAAGGATATAGATAAACTTTTGCTACTTCTATTTTTGCCTTGTAATGTTATGTGGCGTAATCCTGGTGGCCTACTGGTAGGGAGCTGCGCTGCCAACCCAAAGGCATGCAGTTTGAATCTGCCAGCTGCTTCACAGGAGAAAGATGGGCACGTTCCTCCTGTGCAGTTGACTGTCTCTGAAAACCCACGTAAGGGTCAGCGATTAGTCAGTTCCAAACTCAACAGCATAATACTATTGTAATATGTATATGTGAATGTATATGTTTCATATGGAATAACAATATATTTAATGAGAATGTAAACGTCACATGCAGAGATGTTGATTTTCAAAGGTCAAATTTTTGCATATGAAAAAAAAAAAGTATCGTCGTCTGACGGGATCACCTATATGTCATATTAGGTCACTTAGAGGGAGTTTTGGAAGGTTAGGCCATAGGGATTTGTGCTGCTAACCCAAAGGCCAGGCCTATCTGAAGTCTGGACCCACCTGGGCCATGTGGGAGAAATGTAGGCAATGGCTTGTTCAATCTACAGTCTTGACAACTCAATGGAGGGTCCATTTCCACTCAATAACAGTGAGTGGGTAAGTAAGAAGGTCACTTAGGAGGGAACAGTAAAAGCAGACCTGATGAACAGGGTCCTCTCCATCTCATCTTGAAAAACATTAAATGTCACTGTATAGTAGAAAACCTGGGGTTTATTTTCATATGTGTTTATCCATGTGATAGATACACATACACACGGGTTGTATACAGTGCCTGCATTTACTTATTTGTATAACACACATACACTTCTCCAGACCAAGTGCTAGAGTGTACAAGTTTTATAATTTTATTTCACATAAACCTGCAAGATACTTCCTCATTTTTAAGGCCAAGAAACAAGATAAAATTGTACAGCCAATAAAAGATAGAGCCAGGATTCACAGACGGGCTGCTCTTTCCTTTTGGTTATATGTTGTTGACAACCTTTAGAGATCTGGTGTTCATCCTAGTTACTAGCTTACTTGTATACACCCAATCACAGCTGGGAAAGAAGCATCATTCGATAACTTTCAGAGTCTCTCCTCCCCATCTCCCAGCCTGATTTACCCAGCCCCAGTATCAGCAGCCTAAGAAAAGGTTGGCTGAAAGAATAGCCAAAGTAATTGGAATGTGACCACCTTCTTTCCCAGGAAAAGAAAGGTGTGAAGAATTACCTGCTCATGACTTAACCAGGAGGCTTGTGATGTCTGTGTTATAACAAGTTTGAGCAAGCAAACACTGCTGGCCACCAGAAAGAGTATTTATCCATATAGATCCTTAACAAATCCCCTTACTAGTTCTGTCATTAAAACAAAACACAAAAAAACGCAACTTCGGCATTTAGATTGGGCAGCTCCTGTGATTAAACATATGATTTGCTCTGTAATCTTCCTATTCTTCTCCACTGGATTGTTCGGCTTCCCATGCACGTATTATTTTCTCTGTCACTTAATTATAATCATTACATGCTGCCCACATAATCTTCTCTTCAATATGTCACCACTGGTTTAAAAATGGCTCAATATCCGATGATTTCAGCTGCACTCTTACAAAACATATAATCTAAATGTTGAGAGAAACAAGTAAAACTAAAGTATACATCAATAAGGTAGGTCCTGATTGCTAGGAAAGCTCTAACTATTTACCACATGATCAGAAGCACTGTTAAAGAATGAGAAAAATGAAAATGCAAACGGCTGGGTAGGTTTAAGTAAATGTTCTTGAACAAGCATATGAAAATCAATATTGCATTGTTTTACCACAGGATACAGTCACATAACTCAAAATCCAGGACAGGTTAAAAATAGTACTAAATATTTATCTGAGTGTCACACAGCACATGAGGTAGAACAAGTTGGTAAAATTACCCTCCTACTTTTCAAAAGACCTCCACATCAAGCTATTATATTGCTTCATTTACATAATGAGAACCATCATCTCAATTTCTGATTTCTAACAGGAAAAGTAACTCTCTTTTCTCTAGTACATTTAAGCATCTACCAATAATTTAATTCAGTAACTGTAACATTTTTCCTCTACAGAAAGACAACAATGTTGAAAGGAACGTTTTTTTTGAGCCAATAATAGGTTTGAAAAATAAAACATTTTAACATTGAGGCAAATTTTTCAAAAATACTTCTTGAAGATTATGGATTTGGAAGAACTAAAAACAAAAATGAGGAATTAAAAAAAACAACAACTCATCTGAAAGAAAATAGCCAACCTATATAAAATAACTATATTTATTAGTGTTTATTGCTAATTACCTCAGCGTCAGATCTGACTCGCTGAGACTTTATTTATATAAAACACTGCCTGGTCCTAGACCATCCTCACAATCTTTGGTTTCAGCCCGTTATTCCAGCAGCCATGTCCATCCAGCTCATGAAGGGTTTGGTTTCCCTCATGTGTGCTGAGCTCCTGTTAGTTACCAAACATGATATTCTTTCCTGGTAACTAGTCTTTCTAGTGTATCCAACCAGAGAGCTGCTTAGAAGCAAGGACGGTGAACCTTAGCCTCACATACTTTGGACATGCTGTCAGGAGGGCCAGTCCTTTGAAAAAGAGACCATGCTGGGAAAGGTAGTGGCAGACAGAAAGGCCTTCAATGTGATGGACTGACATAGTGACTACAATGCCTGAGCATGGGATGTGAGGGAGACTGGCTATGACATCTGTCACCCCACTGATCACCAGGGTTGATCACCAGCTGATCTGGCTGGCTAGGTGGGCGTCCCCTTTCTCCCTCCCTGATCCATGTGCAAGCGTCCCTCTAGAAGCTGCACACTCGGCTGAAGAGGACAACCAGCTCCAATAGAAGATCGTCCTTTGGTCCAGGGTATACCAGTAGCTGCACTCCCCTGCCAGAATCTCCAAACAAGCTCTCAAGGTCCATCTGAAGGATAACGCAGGGTGGTCAAGCTCCCAAGACTCCAGACACATCCAAACGAGGCACTGCGTGTGGCAGTCTGCCCTTCTTTTGACCCCTCTTTCATTCTTTCTTTATACTATAATAGTATTTTATATATATATATATATATATAACCAAACAGACACCAATGGCCAAGCATGACAGAGATAATGAAGACAGCAGAGAACAGGGCATGGTCCCGATCTGTTGTTCACAGGGTTACTATGAGTTACAATCAACTAGACCAGCACCTAAAAGCAACACATAGCCAAAGTAAACAAGACCAAGTACTGTCATGCTTATTTCTAAGTAGTATCCTGGCCATACTTCCTTCAAAGTAGATTTGTACATTCTTATTCTGGGTTGTTTTTTTGTTTGTTTTGTTGTGTACCATAGAGTCAGAACCAACCCATAGCTGGCCCTCTGGCAGGTTTTCAGAGGCAGTCAATCACACAGGAGGACACCGCCCATCCTTCTCCCATGTGCTTCAGGATTGCAGCACAGCTTCCTGCCACTAGGTAGTCCATGGTATGTATAATCACTATACCAGTTCTCTATTCAACTATATCAATTCTTGAATCATCTATTTTCACTGTTCAATTTTGAATACATATGAGGAAACCACAAAGGCCATGCATGGCTTTACCGAAGACTTATTTTAAGTCAGATTTACACTAAATATATTCTGAGAATACATTCTGAGGTATACTCTTGCCTTAAGACAAGAGCTCTAGTACTGTGGTGGTTCAGCACTCAGCTGCTAACCTGAAGGCCAGCAGTTTGAGCCTACCAATCACTCCATGGAAGAAAGATACAGCAGAAACCATAAAGGGCAGTGCTAGTTCTACTCTCCTCTCTAGTATTGTTATGAGTCTGAACTGATTCAACAGTAAAGGACTGGGACTTGTTGTCCTAACAAAATGTATTCTGAAAAGAAAAACAATGTGGAAAAAATACTGCAGAAGTATATGATACCAACATACGAAAGGTACACAAGATAACACCTAGACCAGAAAGCTATTATGTGAAGAGAGCAAGGGACCACTACATGGTTCAAAATCAAGAAAAGTGTGTCGGGGATATATCCTGTTTCCATATCTTTTCAATCTATATGCAGAACAGATCATTTGAGACTCTGGATTTTACTTTTACAGAGAGTATGGCATCAGGATTGGAGAAAGATTCATCAACAACCTACGTTATGCAGAAGACACATCCTTGCTCACCAAAACTTAGGAGAATAGGAATGTTTGCTGCAGAAGGCCAAAGCCTGCAGCCTTCAGTAAGAACTGCATCTCAACATCAAGAAAACAAAGATCCTCACCACCTAGCCAATAGGCAGCATCATGACAGAGAAAAGATTGAGGCTGTTAATGGTTTAATCTTGCTCAGATCCACAATCTTGGCTCAATAGTCAGAAAATCAAAAGAC